AGAAGGGCTGTTATCTGCCAGTTCCATCAGCACCGATTCGTCCTCGCGTCCCAGACCCTGGTGGACATTTTTTGTTCACAAAATCTGCCATTCGTCCTTCGCCGCCGTTGTGTTGATCAAAACCTGAAGATATTTTCCAACCCAAGTCTACAAGAAGTGGAGTTACTGAATTTTCTTTCGTGACTGTTTTTGATTAAAAGAATCATGGTGATGAATTCTACCTTGTGAATCAGCCTGTATTTGTTTGACTTTTTCGTATCACCGATTATTCTTAGCTACTGTATTTGACTCATTTTTTGTGGGCATCGTGTCAACAGTTTTTCTTCACAAAAAAATTCATACTTTTGTTAAAGTGAATGGAGCTAACTAACGTGGAGTGAATTTCAAAAACAAAATGAGTTATACTGAGCTTCAGCAACAGATTTGTCTTGTGATGTTTCTACAGTTATTTGGATAAAAGAGTAGTGTATGTACGGTACTCTATGTGCTCGGGACTAATTTAGAAATCTGTCCATATCGGCAGTTCGCATTAAATTCAAGTTCGTTATAAATGCTGAAAAATTGCAGAATTCAGTAGAGTTCTGGATGTACTTCCCTAGACAGCAGTGCGGCACTGAATTTGGAAACAAAACTAATGGTGGAATATTCAATTTCACACGAACCCCCGTCGGAAAATCCGTGTTTTTTTAATGCTATACACACAGATGTCGCCTGAGTGTCATATACTAATTTTTTTTAAATAAAAATTCTTCCTCTGGCGACGTCGTCAAGATCGGAATAATAAAACTGCTCAAGTAACATGACATTATATATAATATCGAGTGTTTGTCCATTCATCGGTCAATTGGTATGACAGCACAACCGGATACGCTCAGGTATCCAATGTGCACTTTTTTTTCTTCAATAAATTGGTAGAAAGATGTACGTCATAAGTCAGTGCACAATTTCAAAGGACATTTTTCAAATTTGAAACGTTTCTCCCCACTTTTAAAAACACTTTCGGGGCCTTCTACTTTGGTAGTTTTTATGAAGCAAAATATTGCCACTTGTTGAATTCAATTTGGAAATGTGCTTGCTGCAAGTTTGATTTTTACCCAACACAGTTTTTCGTATGGGAATGTTTGAAAATGAAAACTAAGGTCTTTTCTTTACGAGGATTGAATTTTCCCCAAACATTTCAGCGAGAAATTCAAGGCTCGCATCCTATATACTTCAAGGAGCCTGGTACTCCAAGTAAATACTGTACGGTACTTTTCATTTCGACAGGAAGATGAAATATGAAATGTTCCTCTTCGTCATGTTGGGAAAAATACTGGCGATATTATGTGTAGCTGGTGTCGTTGCACAACGCGTCGATGCGCGAAAAATCAGCGTCAAGTCGAAGCATTCATCATCATCGTCCCTTGACGAAGATTCGATGAGCAACAGCGTGCACGTTATTCATCATCAGGAGCCCGACAGCCCGTTATTCCCGGCGATGAAAATCAGGCACGTCTACGAGAAAGACGAATACATGAAGATGGAAACAAGAGCTAATTACGACGATGAGGCATCACACAAAGTCACGAGAGACGAGAAAGAACGGGCGGAAAAGCGCCGACCGTCGAAAAAGCTGTTGAAGAAAGTTCTTTGGGAGAACCAGGGATGGTTTCACGAGGTTCTCGGGGACGGTGGGTTGCGGAAAGCGACCCAGCTTTTTGGACTGGACGAAGTTGTGGACATTCCGAAGAGGGTTCAGGACACGAAGAAAACGTTTCATTCCGACACGGATAAACCCACGGTGAGGAAGCAGGGTTATTTATTGCTGGTCAGCTATTGATGCTCTATTTCGTTTCGATGATGTGCTTTCGCCGCGCGCGAGGGTCATATATGGTAACGTAGAACGATTTTTTTTTGAAAACGAAGGTTCCCTTATGAAAATACTGTACTCCAAGTTTCTCAAACATACGTATACGGTTGGGCTCAAAGAGGCGGACATAGTTGGTGCTTAATTGGTCTTTGTCCGTATGGTGGGACGTCCGAACGTCAGTTTGTGTTTTTTGTCATACAATTCTATCGAAATAGGTTCTTCTCTCCATCCAAAATGAATTTAATTTTTTTGTCAGCTTCAAGTTAAGAAAGATAACAGAGCAGAAGAAAGCTACACATAATCTGATCTTGTGGCATGAAAAGGAACCTAAAACCAAAGAACGGGTACAAATCTTCCTATTCCTGTACTATACTCAAGCAATGGAAGGAACTCTGAAAAAAGCACCAATCTAGCCTGCTTTGGATTATAAATTGAAGTTTATTTAAATGTATGCTAACACTCCTCTTTCATTTTTGAGAATAAAGGCTAATTTTTTTCAGGAGGTATCTTAAAAAAAGAAAATATTCCTCTAGAAAATCTTTTGAATTGTTTGCATATTGAGACAGCTGCCCATACTCCAGGAAATCATTTTGAAGTTATCAAGTACCCCTAAGTCAAATTGTATATATATCGTGGCCCAACTATATTTAAAAATGAAAGTAAAGGTTTTCCGCAAATTTAGCTTATTTTAGCTTGGAATAAGGACAATTTGCAGCAGGGCCAATGCCAGCCAGGGTAAATTTTCGAAAATCCTAATTTTAGCCAGGGAATGACTATACAAGACGCAGGGTCAATTAGAGACATAAAATTTATCACCAAACTTTCACATGCACCTTCACCTTCAATTTATTCTCAGCTCATTTTTTTCAAAATTCGTAACTATAATTTATCTCATATGGAGTATGAGAAAACTGTTGAAAATGTACCAAGGAAGGAATGGAAGCGGGTAGAAAAATGGTTTATTTTCGAAAACCTGAGAGAAAATCCCCTTGCTATGCTGATGGTATTATGCCCATCATTATCCCACAGTTATCACGCATAATGAAACCATCATACATCTAAAGAAGCATGAAATAAAGCAAAGAGCTCACATAATTGTCATTAACTGGCCCCATCTGTCTCAAAAATGTTTTTGAATGTCTTAAAGAGCCTCTGTCTTGAACTGCTCCTGTGTAGTATCGATTAGTTCCCCTGTATTGAATTGTCGGTCTCAAATTTTCCAAGATCCTCACTGCTCAATAATTGGTCTACTTTTCCTCCGGATTTTTTTCATTTCGTCGTTTCTGGGTGGATTACAGGGATTAAAAGGTGAGACGAGACTATGATGCTGATTGTTTGTTTTAATTTCCGGCACGGCCTGGAAGTAGCCGGAAATGATATCAGACGCCGGATATCCGTCGGAAATACACGACGTGATTACCGAAGACGGTTACATTTTGCAAATGCACCGGATACCGTACGGATTGGCGAACGGGTCTGGTCCTGGACAAGGGCATAAGACCCCAGTGTATTTGCAGCACGGGTTGCTCTGCTCTTCCGCGGATTGGGTCATTTCTGGCCCGGGTGCTGGACTCGGTGAGTACAGTGCTTGATATTGAGCAGGGACGAGTTTTATTTCGATTAGAATAGCCCATAGGAAATTGTTTCTGAGTTCCAGAAAAATTTAATTTTCCCGAATGATTCAAGGGCTATTGAAAATTTTAAACACGGTTTATCTTGCACCTTGCCTATATACCGTATTTCGTTTTTATTCGATGTGTAAATCCTTTTGGTTTCTGCATTTGGAATTATGAGTTAAAATAGCAGCGCTTCTTAAAAAATGCGTGATATGGGAAATATCTAAAAAAAAATTAATGCTGTACCCTCAAACCTCGAAAAATCGAATTTTCCGGAGACCGTCCGACTATTGTCAAAGGAAAGAAAAAATAACACAAATTCAACTTGACGTTTTACGCAAAGAATCGCTGAACTGATATTAGGCTGATGAACCCATGCCTCCAATAAGTTCAGCATCTCTCAAATCATTTAAGAAACAATTCCTGAATATAGAAAAATAAATTTCATTAATTCTTTTTCCTATACTTCCCCCACACAAATATTTTTTTTACGAACTGATGGAAGTCTCCCTAACTCGAATTCTTGCTGGTCCCTACACAGGTGGTAACTCGCAATTCAGCCTCCTGCAATTTGATGGTCAAATTTGAAAGGCCATTGACTTGCAATTTGTCCCTTGCACCACAATTTCACCATATTTATTATTCATATTTATTAATTGTATGAAATATCTTGCAACTTGATTGCTTCGCAATTCGACCCTATTCCAGCAACAAAAAATAGTGTCAATTTGCGAGGTACTACCTGTACAGTAATTAGCATTGAAGAGCTGAAACACTAATTATTTCTATGAACTTTGCAATGCAATGATGCTGTATCTTTTCCATTATAAAATTACTGGAGAGGTACTGATTGACACGGATACTGAATCCGCGCGGTCTCCAGAAGAATCGCGTTGAATGCGAAAACTTGCATTTCATTTTGCTGGGCTCGCTGTAATTGCATTCACTCTGTAAATCCGTAAGACAAAGCTGGGAAGCAGAGGATATCTGATTAACAAACATAATTTTTAAAAATAAACCCAGGAAGAGGAATTAGTGTGAGTGCCCGATGAAGTGAAGCCTGCTGGTGGGGCGTGTGTGGGGTTCTTCTCATTGCGACTGGGTGACTGTGTGTATATTCGCGCGAACGGGTGCTGCTAAAAACTAGCAGCGCCTCTCTCATGCGTATACAGCTGTGACAGGCCACGCACAAATTTTACTCATGTCTCTGGTAGAAATGCCCTGGAAATTATACAGCACTAATCCAGACACCATTTTTCCCATCACTTTTTCTTCTCCTGACCTGGGCACATGTGTATACAGTATACAATACAATAGTATACATGGAGAATAACGTCACATGGCTGTACTACGAGGGGTCCAACAACAGTTCTTGGGGTAGACAAACTGAAACGGCATACGATAGAGTTGAAAAACAATTATTGCTTGGAGAAAACATTTATTTTACCCAATAAAAAAATTTGGCTCGGTTTAGCTTGGTTTTTTCTTCAATTTTTTTCAAATGTCCCTCTGGCAGCTTCCTAATGTTCACTTGAAATATGGGGCAACCATCCTGGAGATTTTTTTTAAAGCCCACACTCTCCTTCAGAATTTTTGAACTCTACATGACAGTAATTCCAAGGGTTGCCTCCAAGTCTTCCAAGGTAATTCTTCCATTTTCATTGACAGCCGCCTTCAAAGCAACCAAATTTTTATTCTAAGTGTCGGCTGTGCAGGCGGGTGCCTCATTTTTTGAGGAAAGAGCTCAGCCGAAAACTGGCAGAGGGTGACTTTGGCGAACATGTCCTGAAAAATATGCTCCTTGAGGCTGAATTTTTCCCCCTTTTTTTGCTGCAAAGAATGTTTCTTTCTGCATGTTACCTGTTTTTCATATCAATCTTTATGCCGTCTCAATTTTATATTCCGAGAATATTTATTCTTCCCATCGCACGATGCTCGTGCTGCTGAACATATACGTTGCTCTTTCAAAATGATTTGTGGTTCTTTCGAGTATATGTCTGTCGTCCTTTGATGGAGAGTTGTGGCACGAATTGCTCGTACAGTGTTTTGATTTGGCGGAAAACCTTGGAAAACATATGCTTCCAGTCACAAGTGATGGACAATGCAGAACATGAAGTGCAGATTGAGGAACCTATGGGATTACGTAAACAAATTATTCTCTTTCTTTCCGCAGTATAAAATGCTCACACGTTAATTGGTTCTGATCCCTCAATCATGTTTGATCGATATTCATTTGAAGGTGACGACGTGTAAGTTTTATAAAAAAATGTTGAATAGTCTCAAGTTCAAAGCTGGTAAAATGCTCGACCTCATTATAAGAGACTTTGTACAAAATTGCTGAAAATTTAATAGTCTAAGTCTCTTGATGACTTGGCTCGAAAAAGGTTCGTCAATTTTTATTTAAAAAATTATTATTTAAAAAAAAACGTCTAATGATTCGTGAGTTTCCCCGTCAATGAACAACAATCTTGCCTGCAGTTTATTTTTCTATTAACTAAAAAATTAAATCTCTCTAGTTGGACGGCGATGAAATGCGGAAAATCCCATAAGAATAACATCGAAAGATATTTCACTCACCGTCGTTAATATAAAAGTTGCAAGAAGAAAAAACTACAGTACCTCCGGATTATTGTAATGATCTGAATGGCAGCAATAAATTCCTCTTCAGATCCTTTCCTCGAATTGGTTATAAAATATTTTTCTCATGAACTTAGATTTACTTTGGACATTTTCGTTTTTGTTTCTTTTTTCCAGCGTACATCTTGGCTGACCATGGTTATGATGTTTGGATGGGAAACGTCAGAGGAAACACATATTCCAAAAAACACGAGACACTGAGTCCAACCAAAGAAGCTTTCTGGAATTTCAGGTGCGTCAGTTCATTCAAGTTTTCTTTTTTTTTCCTTCATTTGAGTAAATTGCTCCAAACTTTAAAATGTTCGTGGCGTCTTCCTTCACTCAAAAATTATCGCGGGAACCCTACTGTATTTCAACGTAGTTGATGGAATATGTGACTTTACGCAGTTTTCCGACCCACGTTTGATATTGTCAAGTGTGCGATGGCTAGCACAAAACTTACTGCATTTGTGCTGTCATTTTCGTGATGAAAATATCAACTGAAACAGACGATCTCTCCACTTGAATTGTATCATTCTAAATTTGAAACAATAAAAAATCATGAAACAAATCCATACTGAGAGTAGACGCTATTATCCGTTTCGGTGAAGCTTCCGCGTTTTGGTGCCGACTTTTGAACGAAATGCTCAAACAAATTGTCCATGAAAAATATGCCTTGGTTGAAAAAGTATTTAATGGAATCAAAATTGAACCAAATAGTGCTGGGACTTACAAGGGGTCACTCTTACGAATGTTTTCAGGATAGAAAGTTAAACAGCGTGTGATTCAACACGAGAGCTAGACATTCATTGTTCTGAAAAAAATGGTTGTTGGCGCGAAAAAAAAATCTGCTTCGTTCGGCATGTTTTATTTTTCCTTTTTTCAAAAGTTCCTTTAGCAAATTTCTGATCTTCACTCAAACGATATGAGGCGTCCATCTCAAAGATTTTTCGGTGTACTCCAGGTCTCACTTCAGCGTATTTGAAATTGAAACGTCATTATTTCCAAGGGTTGCCTCCAGCTCTTCCAATTTTATTCCACCATTTTTGTAGACGGCCGCCACTTGGGATGAGAATGTGGCCATCGTAAAGGCGGCTGTTGATGGAAATGGCGGATATTAATTCGAGAGACCTGCAGGCAACCCTTAGAAATAATGCCATGTCAGTTTTTGAAATTTCCGAAGGGAAAACTAAGGTATGCACCAAAATATCTGCAAGAAACGCACGTTCGTCTCTTGCTCGAAGCAGAAAGCTGCCCGAGTGACTTTTATTGCAAAAAAAAAGTTAGCTATAGTTTGTCAAACAGGACGGAGTCTTTTGTTCGCCAGCAGCAACGTATGTTTTTCTGAACAATAATTCTTTTTTCAAGTTCAATTGCATTTCAATTACAATTTATATTCCGAAAACATTCGTTATACCTTTCACACATAGAGCCTTTCATTCTTCCTGCAACTTTATCAAAGTTTTCTGCCATTTTATTTTGTTTTCTCGAACTGTGGCTTCCGAGCCGCGGAAACTTTATGTACAGCCCCCATTTATACTGCACGCGTTTGCTGCAAAAGAAATGGGAAGTCGTTTCGCGCTTAAAATTAGTTCATGGGCGGCACACGATTGCCGAGCAAGCCACCTGCGCGAGTTTCGCGAAATCTACTTGAGCCGATTCCGGGAGTGCTCTTGGGTGCAAAATGTCACGGCACGGAAGTTTGCTCAAATCCTCGGAGCAATTGTGTCCCTCACGTTCTCGGGCCCAGTCGTTCATCACGTGCTAAGGAAACAAACCGCGTCGTTGTGGGTTGATGAGAAATCACGACAGCGCCGGAAGAGCACTCAGGTCCCGCTATCCCTGCTGCAGTTCTGGGTGGGTTCTGCTGCTGCTGCTGTAGTACAATAATATACGAGTGGTACAGTAACAGGCTGTCAAAACTCACTGCAAGAAGACCGGAAGAAACGATCAAGATGACATTATGAAGAAAAAATCTTGGGCCCAGCGATAAATATATATACATTACTGTATATACTGTACAGTGCTGGTGATGCTTCGATGCGATCCTCTGAACAAAAAGAAGAGGAATCTTTTTTTCGTTTTAACTGAGCTGGATTTTCTTAGCGCCAATTCCGTATCTCCAAGCTTTTTTCGTTTTTTTTTTCCTAGTAGGGGTAAGGGATCATATACGGAGTTTTTCCGGGAACTGGAGCTATTGTTGTGCTACTATTATACAGGGTTCATTTTAACGGTGCTTGCGATATCCCCAGTTTTTCATTGATGCCGTATTTTTTAGGGAAGATTCTATGGGGAATGAAAAGGCTTTAAAGCACACTGACAGGGTTCTTGAAGAAGTTATACTGCGCAATGAGAAAATCGTCTTTGGGGCTATGAAAACTTTGCGTACTTGGTCTTTCACAGTGACGATATTTTCTAACGTATGGATATAGATGTCACTAACTGTAACAATTTACCGTTATTTTACTCGATTTTAATATTTTTGGGACCACGATTTCTTTGCGTTCTTTAATCCTGCCGTAAGGAATTGATTGTAAACCTCCAGGGCATGTTATTCTTCATCAATCTGGATGCCAGATCTTGGAGTTCAGATTAAAACTACTTGACAAATCCTTCCTTTCCTCATCGTGTGTTGCATTGTCCATTTATTGTTAGGATACTTTTCACGTAACCCGTGGATGACGTTGTATGCATTCATTTCCGTCCTACATGTCAGAACCAGGGTATTTTTTCTCACAAGCGCACTTTGGTTGGACCAAATTTCAAAAAAATGCAGCCTGCGCTGAATATAGCCGAAGTTTGCAAAAATTTGGAAGGCACCTATCCTATCAAACCTAACTGCTGGTGATTAGGACGAATGGCTTAGGGAGTGATGGTTAGTTTGGCTTGGTATAAGGTTTAGCATATGCCCATACACTATTTATACCAGGCATGCAAAAGCACCATGGCTGTTCATTTTCAAATAGATTTTCCATGCAGTTTTAGGGTTTCCAAAAACTATAGACTGTAGCAAGAATAACACAATTTTCTTACAAATATTTTCAAAAAAAATGCGATATTCCTAACCAATTCTTCTGATGAATGCAATATTTTTTGGAAGGAATGTGAGGCTTATCCGGTCCATGTGTAACTGGGTCTGTGTGTGCCAACTGACCATAACCCCAACACCTGTTGGTCCTTCTCAAATCTCAACCCTGCATCCCACCTGGGAATCATTTTTTCTTATCGAGGTCCCTCTTCCGGCTGGTGCCCGGGACTTCTTCTCCCGAATTCCCGGTTATTGGGTATACTTATCCTTTGGGAGAGCTAGATGAATGAAAGAAGAATGACGGGGTACGAAACAATATAATGGCATCAGGTAGTATTACGTGCGAGTATTGCGCTTGACATGGCATGGAAAAGTAACTCTTCTGACGCCTTGGTTTCAAATTTCCAAGGGTTGCTCAAAAGGGGAAACAAAGCTGAATTGAGTTGATTGTTTTCTCTTTCTCTCTTGGATCTCTTTCGTCATTTCTGTAATCATCCAAGTATATACGCAGTATATTTAATTTATATTAAAGACTTGTTGAATTGACGAGCGTATGTAATTGACGACTGTAATGCAGTTGGGACCAACATGGCTTGTTCGACGTGCCAGCGCAAATGGATGCCATCAGCGGGACGACGGGTCAACGGAAGATGTTCTACATTGGCCATTCCATGGGCACCACCATGTTCTGGGTGTTGAGCAATGTCCGACCCGAATACAAGGACCGGATATTGGCCATGTTCGCCCTCGCACCTGTCGCTCAGGTTCACCATATGAGATCCCCCGTGGCACTGCTCGCACCGTTTGTGGACGAGATCAAGGTGAGTTATTTTCTATATAATGTATACAGTACACAGTGCGAGGAATTGTTTGCTAGTCTGTTCTGCGTCATTGTTTTTCATGTATGTTTCGCGTTTTGTCACTTTTTTTTTTTTATTGAAAACGTAATTCGAACATCTCTTATCCCATGAGTGGCTGTGGCACAATAAGCAAAATTCAAAGGTGAGAAAATATCGTGAAACTTTTTAATGAGTCTGCTTTTGAATTAAGTGGTACTTTGGCGATGGTATTGAGGCATCTTGATCCTGGAACGAGATTTGAAACTTTGCATTAGTTTTCTCAAAGGAATTCCAATTTGACGTCAATGTCAGTATGCCATCAAGTAATGCATTTATAAAATTTTGTTGTTGGGAAAAGTTGCTAATCCTCTTCCATGCTTCTTCTGTCAAATCAAGCAAATGTCGAAGTTTAATGATACAAAAGTTGCAATTGAAGTACTTGAGTGCAATTCAGAACTGCTTGAAAGCATGCGTCAAACTGCTAATTGTTCAAGTGTTTTTACTGGTCCCTCGATTGACGTCAATGGTTTGTCTCTTGACGAATACATAGTGTTGATTATATTGATTTGATTCTCAGGAAAATGTTGATTTCGATTTTATGTGTAAAGTACCAAGCACCAGCTGTCCTCTTTCGACTACGAATTTTGATCAGAAAGGTATGCAACGAAGTTGTTTCTTTTACTCTTCAATCATGGATAATCTTGCGCTTTCATTCCGATCGGTTCGATTCTTCGCCAGTCTCTCATATAGGATGATTGAAAAATGCCAGAGCAGTACTGAATTCTTCTGAAATGAGTCCGATATGATTGAATGAATTCAGATGCCGGAATTCATTTCTTGGGTCGACAGGGGACACTTTTGAATATTGCGGCGCTACATCGAAAGGAAATTTCTTTTCACCAGAATGATCTACCGTACTTTCATGAAATTTCATCCGGGTTCTTCCCAGTGGCTCTTTCAGCAGCAGGTTTTTGTTTGAAGTTTAATAGGATTTGGGTCTTTCCAACGCAGATGAATTGGCAATGTAAATTCGTGTCCCTTCTTCACCCCGTCTGTTGTTGGAATTAATTCTTCGCTTTTTCTTCCACGACTTTTGAAAATTTGTTTCTTCAGTTCCGTCAGCGTCCGTTTCAATTAATCCCTGGTTCATGCATATGAACAGGATGCATTTGGTTCCCGTTTTTCCTGAAAAAAAGAACGGATAGCAAAATGCTGCCGGTTTATTACGTGAATGTAAATGGATGCATATTGTCCCTCCATTATGCAGCTGATTATGCGATCCTTGCAATTTCTCAGTTTTTACTCAGAGTTTTTGGTGACTACGACTTCTTGCCTCACGCCCGATGGCTCACGATTTTCGGGCGATACGTTTGTCGAATCCGAGCCCTGGACAAGAGAGTCTGCGAAAATTTCATATTCCTCATTTGTGGATACGATTCTCTGAATCTGAACGTGGTGAGATTAGCATGCCAAATTATAGAGGAAAAAAGAAAACATGCTGAAATGCTGCTTACTCTTTCATGGGTCATCGTAATTCTTTCTGGTGTTGGTTATCCTTCGCATGCCTCAGTATATTTGTCGGTGCATAGAATTCGCTGAACTTTTTCACTGAGACCAGGGAGGGATGAGGAAACTTGTTTTCTACGCTACTTTTCGAACTGCATGAATTTAAAAACTTGTCAGCCAGCAGGCTCGTGTGCAATAATATAAAGTTCCAGGGCGACGGTTTTGTCGCGTCGGCTTTCTTATTCTGACAACGTGGTCATTCAGAGCGTGGTCGGTTGGCTCGTAATTTCGGCACATCTTCACAAAAGTTACACATTTACAGGAAGTTTCTCCTTGGCTTTTGAAGAAAAGGAAGATATGCGTTCAAAACGAAAGTTTAGGTGCATATTTATTCTTCGAAAATGAGAAGAAAAGAATTCTAGAACGACGCGGACGCATATGAAAAAATTGGAACTTTCTCTCGGTGCTGTTGAGAAATTCTCATTCGCTCGAATGACGACTCAGATGCCTTTTTTTTTTTTTTAAATCGAAAGAACATTCGAAGCAAGCTTCCCTCTCCATTCATTGATACGCGAATTTGTAAAACATTTCAAGGGAATTAGAATTAGTGAAGAAAAAATTCAGGCTGTGATCTTCTCGCGTGGCTTTCGTGTTTCGTGCGAATAATACAGGATACTGACGGATTTCGGATTTTCATCACCTGTGCTGAAACACACATGATATAGCTGAGTTCCGGATTTGTTTCCCGATAATTCTAATGTTTTGTTTAGCAAATAACGAATGAGTTTGGGGTGAACGAGTTCCTGCCTTCAAGTCGGTCATTAAGCTGGTTCAAAACTATTTTTTGCGACCCGGAACTTACCCAAGGCACATCCGAAATATGCAGCAACGTTATTTTCTTGTTATGCGGATTCAATCCTGATCAGCTCAACTCGGTGAGATGTTTTGCCGTTGCTGGAAGGGATACGAGGAAATGCTTTCAAAGACTTGCAGAATTTGTTTGTTGGAGATGTTGGCAAACTTATAAGTGGGTTGTCATACTGAAGTCTTCTCGCATACGAGTACGGTATAGTGGGCGTTCTTAATTAGCTGGCAAATATTTCCAAATGCTTTATAAGGGAATTTAAAACACTGTTGAATACTCCATCACTCAGCTTTGCCCAAACGCCGCACTATTAACTTTTGTATCAATTCAAAAACCTTTTAATTCGGTGCCTTTTTTTTCTTTTCGCCAAATTCTCTGAAAATGTTCTCAATTCTTCTGCATCTCCTGATGCTTACTCACGTACTGCGCATAAACGTTCATTCCGCACGGATATGTTCTTGGAAAGATTGATGAAGCTGAATGGAATGATTTTTTTCATGTGTAAGATATGAGTGAAGCAGGAGTAAAGAAGAGGAAATTCAGCTCATCTCCTTGGAAAGGAAAAGGTTCTTGCGTTGTCTGCGACGTAGTGTACTATAGCTTATGTTGCTTCCAGGAAACCCGGCTATTATTTGCACCGACTATGAACAGCAGTAGATGTGCATTTCCTGTGCTTACTTAGAATGCAAGTGAGCTCCTCTGGTTTTTTGTTCTTGCACTTCAGACGTGACCGTAGTGAAATGCTTTATCTTCTATAATACCAAAATCGCAAGCTGTGAAATTTTTGTGAATTGAATATACTGAAGTGGAATTTTACACTGAAAATTGGTTACACCAGTGTTCCTCAACAATGGAGGGCCTGGAAAATATCCATAAAATTTTTTTGGGGACTGGAAAATTAAAAAGAAAATTCTGCTGACCAGCAAAGTATCATTAAATTTTTGAAAATTGAAAAAAAGTTGTGCTTGATAAACTTTATGGCAAGTATTTAGAAGATTCTGATTTCAGCAAAAATTTAGTTAGGCACCAATGATGCACAGCTATAGCTGAATGCCATCAAAAATTAGAAAGGCGGGCTTGAAGAAATGTTCCTTGATCAGACTGACAAATTTTAAACAATGATTGCAGCTGTTGAGAATGTGACTGAAGTGGTATTACAAGAAAAGCTGAAAGATAATTTCATCTGCCATTGTCCTTCAGATATTCAAGGTAAAGATAACACAAATTCATCTCTTCTTTTGATAAATGTGTTGTGCTGAAAATTTCTGCTTTTTGAAGCACTGCATCTGCCATAAAGTTTCACATTTTTCGAGGGTAATTTATCTACGATGGCTCACATCCAGTGCGAAAGAAACCCGAGTGATCGGTAATAGAATAAATTAAAATGAAGCAGGAATCAACAAAACTCTGAGGATATGATGTTCGAAGAAAGTTAAATTTCATTTCAGCTTTTTATAGACGAATCACCCAGCTATTCAACATATATCAGTCTAGAAGTCATTATAATGAAAGAAATTCATAAAATTTTTTTGAAATATCTCACAAAACCATTTTCTCAGCGCGGAAATCTTAGATCATTATCCTCATGACTCTCAAACAATTTTCATCTAACCTTCATTTTACTTCACGCGCGGGGAAGTAAGTACACTGTGACATTGTGGTTACCACAGTATTTTCGCGGCTTACATGAAGTAACTCATACAAGGATAACCTTCCCATCGTCAGTATCAAAATAATTTTTCAATATCGTTGATGGAACAGCCTCCTTTTCAAAGGTAACCCGGAACGCTTCAAAGGTTCAGTACGTCAAAGTTTTTTTTTTTTTGCCGAATGAGTGAAGGATATAGAGGAAAAAAAATTTGCTGTTCACAGGCTGAAAAAAAAATAATTCTGGGGTTGCAGGAGAAAATTCGCATTTTCCGTCTTCTTCCGGACCTTTGAAGCTCCTTTATTGATGCTTTCTTGGTGATCGGGTTTTCCCCTTCATGCGGAGTAAATATTTGAGTGGGTTAGCCCTTCTGCTTTTAGAATGCTCTTCACTTTTTATGTAGCATGAACCTGATTTACGTCAAAAGAAGGGGCATTACCCTCTAATACTAACCTGTCCGTACATGCAATGCAGACTTTGCTCCCACTGATTTTGGGACATGCACCAGCTGGGACTTCTACTCGGACAGTCATTCACTATGCTCAGGAAGTGAATGCCAAGAAATTTCAGCACTACGACTTCGGAAAAATTGGCAACTTGGAAAATTATGGGACTCTGAGCCCTCCCGAATATTCCATTGAATCCGTCACATCTCCTGTGATCGCCTTTTGGGGCAACAACGACTGGCTTGCTGAACCGGTGGTATGAAAAGATTTTCATAGCAAAATTGAATAAAATTGCTTTATATACTCTCAAACGGCAAATACCATTACAAGGAATTTTCTATTGTGACAAACTTTCTCTCAGGACCCAACAGAAAACCCATTCTTTACATCTTGAAACATTTTTGTCATAACAAGCTCTCCAATCCCAGTATAAAAAGTTTTTGTGTGGAATGTTTAAAAGATTCTTCAGGCATAAATTTCCTGACTGAGCACATCACAGTTTGAAATTTACAATCCCAAATGTGAATAACTTGGTCCTTCAACGCAGATTTTCACACAAGTTCCATCCATCATGAAGAGATTGTTGCAATAACTAATCATGGGATGCATTATCGAGGCCAGTTTTTGAAAAATAACATAGTTTTACAAACAACAATAAAAATCTGATTCCAGAAAAGCAAGATTGGCATATTCAGCATTCCAAGCTGAAATACAGTGTACAGTACAGTCTGCCCCTGAACAATGGATTTAATTTGTGCAACACACTATCGTCTGCTGTGTAAAAAGTCTGTTCTGCCAATTCAATAAAAGAATTAAATTTTTTACCGTCAATTTCAAACTCACAGAAGTCTTTCAGGCAGATGTAGTGCTTTGTGCAAGAGGGAAGCCCGCTTACAGAGGTGGTTTGTTGTGCAAAAATCCGTTGCACAGGAGGTCAATTATGCAGCAATCAACTGTACTTGTTATTGTAGCAATCATCTTTCAAGGTAGTGAAAAAACTCCTATGGAGAAAAACCATCTTAATTCATGATCACAAGCAGGCCTGATGTGGGAAATTCTTTTAATCATCACACTTGAAAATCTCGTCATAAAAAATAATTCCGTAAAGAAAAAATTTCGAAGAAATCCTCAAAAGTGCGCTCTGAGCAGGTTTTACTGTCTGCATTTTAATTTTAATCCTATGAATATATTTTTCACGTTTTATGGCAGGACGTCGAGTGGCTGACGACGCGGTTGCCAAACCTGATCAAGAGCATCCGAGTGCCGTTTGACAAGTTCAACCACTTGGATTTTTTGTGGGGAATTGATGCTCCACAACTAGTTTATGACCCGATTTTGGAGATGATGCAAGCGTTTCATAACTCGTGACATCAATCCCGTGGAACTTGGAAGAAGTTATTCAGTCGCTGATGAGAAGCCAAAGATTCGAACGCATGAAATGTGGATCCATGTTTATTTCGGGCTCGCGATTTCTATTTCAGGAGACGCGTTTGTGTGTACAGATAGAACTTGAGAGCATTAGTTTCTATTTTTACTTCGCGATGGTTTTGTGTTTACCTGGCGACGTTTGATCACGTGTTTCCGTGAGGAGATGCTTCTAAGTGTGTGAAGGAAGACGAAAAACAGACTGATCGTTTTCACGGAAGTACAGTACATGTCTACCGTTTCATTTTCTCGCTTATTACGATGAATGCATGAACAAAGCATATACACGGTTCCTTTCCGTCCTTTACGTTAAAGAAAAGTATCGACCAACCGTTTAGTGAGTGACCAAAGGAAATTCCTTAGTCTGGAATAATTCAACGTGAACTCTTGAAGGTCTGTCTCATTTCACGTTGGATTTCGCTGAAAACGACGTGTAGGCATGTTCAAATATGCTCCGAGGTGTTATTGTTTCCCTTTTGATGCTGGAAGTGCTATTCACGGTTCGGCAAACAATGCTGTTAAATCGTGCTGCTGGATTTCAGCCGATTTCATGAGTTACTCGGCGAAGCCATTGATGATGACGGGGTTGTCGAGGAACTTGTTGAAACGAACTTCGCAAGAATTCCGGGAGAAATTTCGGAACAGCTTCCGCCGATGCTCTGTTGGCAACTTGGTGAGTGATATATATTTTTTTTGAGTTTTTTTGAAATGAGCATAAATATAACCTTCAAGGATGGCAGAATAAGAACCTTTGATGATGATCCGCTTGTTCATGACTCACATTTACAAATAATTATAGTAGATTAAAAAATTAATCTAAAAAACCACGTTTTC